CAGAAAATGCATATGATCTCTTAGTATTAGGAAAACAGGTTTGATCCTGCAGACTCCCTCAAAGAGAGAAGTTCTGGATCATACTCTGAGAACTGTTACACAAAAATTTCTCACCATGTCCCCAAGGAGATACAAATATAGATGCTCATAACAACATTACTTACAAATAGCAAATACTTGCCAATATCCTTTAGTAGAGAAATGGGTAAACTGTAAAAAGAAAACCCTCTAATTTCTAAATAAACTCATTTTCTGCCTATCAATATGATTTACAGCAAAACAATGTTGTAAAAAAAACAACTTGGAGAATATTCTATCCAGTATGACATCATTAAATAAAATTCCAATATGCCATGGAACACCTGGGTGGCTCAGTAGGTTGAGCGTCAGACTTTTGATCTTGGCTCAGGTCATGATCCCAGGGTTAAGCCCCATATCGGGCTCTTCACTGAGCATGGAGCCTGCTTTAGATTCTCTCACCCCAGGGGTGCCTGGGTGGCTCAGTCGTTAAGTGTCTGACTTCAGCTCAGGTCGTGATCTCTGTTTGTGAGTTCAAGTCCTGCATCAGGCTCTGTGCTGACAGTTCAGAGCCTGGAGCCTGTTTCAGGTTCTGTGTCTCCCTCTCTCTCTCTGCCCCTCCCCCACTCATGCTCGGTCTGTCTTTCTCCCTCAAAAATAAATATTAAAAAAAAAAAAGATTCTCTCACCCCATCTGTCCCTCTCCCCTGCTTGTGTACTCTCTAAAATACATATATATATTTAGAAATAATAGTATTATTTGCCATATATATATATATAATACAAATAATACTATTATTTCTAAAGCCCTACTTGAAACTGAAAACCAATATGAAGCAAGTATTAAAATATGCTATCTGTTCATTTTAAATAGAGGATACAAAGGCTTTTTAATATTATCCTCTGTATTTTTTCAGTATCTTTCAAATGATTTCCAGGCTGTTACCAAGAGTGATCATTAAGTTCTAACTTCAGGCCACCTAAAATAATGGTTCTTAAAGTGTATCCCCCCCACCCACACTCATCAGTAGCATCAGCCTCATCTGAGGGCTTGTTAGACCCACAAATCACAAGGCCCACCCCAGACATCCTGAATCTGCATCTCTAGGTTGGGGCTAGGGAATCTGGGTTATGGCAAGCCACTCAGGAGATTCTGATGAAAGCCCCAGTTTGAGAACCAGAGTGCAAGAACAATGTGACCATTCAACCTGCCACTTAAATAAATGCATCTAATTCAGCAGAAATTTTGGTAACATTGCTTATGATGCTTTGTGGACAAAATGACATTAGACAGAAAAAGGAATTTCTCAAAGACACTTCCCAAATGTCCTAAAAGGATCCCCCATATCTCTGGGGGTTCAGATTTTCTTCATTTGTCTAGGTGCCTTTGGCTTGAGTACATGAACTTTAACTTTTGACACAAATCTGAGCTAACCTGTGGCTTCTGGTTACATTTCTGACCATTTGGACATCCTGGTCAGCATAAACTTTGATTGATTACACCTTATGTGGATGAATTCCTTTATAATTACCTAAATCAAAGTTCTTAAAGTGCGGTTTCCAGACCAGCAACATCAGCATCACCTGGAAACTTATTAGAAATGCAAAATTCTGACCCCATCCCAGTTCTGCTGAATCAGAAACTTGGGGGATGGGCCCAGCAATCTGTGTTTTAGCAAGCCCTCCAGGTGACTTTGACGGACTATAGTTTGAGATACACTGACATCAATAAATCTACACAGAAGAAGAGCGTCCTGGCAAGAGTGATATGCAATTTAAAGAAGGTTCCGAATAGGAACGGCTGAAACACTAATCAGAGAATTAATCGCAATGGCGAACCTCCATTCAGAACCAGCCTGCCTAAAGCTTACTGAAGTGCTACACACTTCTTCCATTTACTGCTTTCGTGTGGTGATCTCTTATTTTTCTTTGTCCCCTTTAAAGGACAGCCTGAAAAAATTAGAATTGTTTGGTCTACTTAAATAACTTTGCCAAAATGGCTTTATCAGCACAATTCTTTTCACTCCTTTCTGTCAATTCCTGCATAGCTTATTTTGAGGATTGTTCTGACTTCTGAGATAGATTCTGCATGATTCATAATGTGTTAAAACTATGGAAGATTCCTCCAGAGAAGGCATTTCCAAAAAGTAGATCATGCAAACCATGTGGCATACTTTGGCCCCTTGAACGCTTTTCTGATTCTAGAGATGCTATGGAGTCAGCAGGATTCTCTCAGACCAATATTGTCCAACACGTGTCGACAGCACTGACTTCACTCACAGGATATGGAGGAGAGGATCAATCTATAGCAGTTGGTGAAAGTATCAAGTAGAGATTTATTGGGTGTCCTTCAGTTCAAAATGTTTGATTAACTCCACTCTTTCTGGGGAAAATTCTACCTAGCTGATTACTGTTTTGTTATTCCTTGTCCGTTCTTATTTTCTTTCTCACAGGCAAAACTGTGCCTGAGGTCCAATTTGCATAATTCAGTCCTGGGTCTCTACTGGAGATATATTTTCCCGTCATCTTGCAGTTTGCATTTAAGTGCCTATAACAAATATTATCATTTCATACAGACTGGAGGCTCACTCATGGGCGCCAGGGCTAGAAAGCCCATAGAGTGAGTAAGTGAATCATGAGGCCCAGAAGTTCAGCAGTTAGGAAACCTTGGTCCAACTCTTAGCGGAGCTGGCAAATTCTGTCAGAGAGGATAATGGGCTAGCCCATCTGAGAAATGGAAGAAATGAACTAGAAGTCCTGTTAAGTCCTACCTTCACCAAGCATGGTGGATTATCACTGAGATAGGAACCTCCTCCTTCACTGCCAGCCAGGCCCTGCTAGGACCCAGATGAATGAAAAACCACAGTGCGTAGATAATACTCTGTCCTTACTCAATAATAGACACACTCTCTAATAAGACAGTGCATGTCCTGGGCCTTTAGCTAGGATGTTTTGAAGACTCTGTCTCCTTCTAGCTTGTTCCTCATCAAATAATAATGACACTCAATAATTGTTTCACTGGGGCGCTTTTCCTTCACCATGAGGCTCAATGGCAGAAAATTTTTCTGGGCACAGTGCACATTCCATTGTTTGGGTTTTATAAAAACTTGGGATAGGAGAAAAATAATAAAAAGAAAGAGCAAATTCTTTCACTCCATTATTTACTCATTAGTTAAGCATTAGCCTTCTCTTAGGGAGAAAATCATGTTCAGTAGTAGGATATGGCCTAATATCAAGCAGTAGAGTTGGTTAATTGGTCACTTTCTTTTTAAAATTTATTTACTTTTATTTTTTCAAGTAGGCTTCACACCCAGTGTGGAGCACAATGCAAGGCTTGAACTCATGACCCTGAGATCAAGACCTGAGCTGAGAACAAAAGTCAGACACTTAACCAACTGAGCCACCCAGGTGCCCCCTTTTTTATTTATATGTTTATTTATTTATTTGGTTAATTTCTATTAAATACCAGTCAATATCTGTTTTAAATGGGAGGTTCCTTTTTGTCCCCAAAGATGTATCTTCTCCAATATCCACCTTTTGAATATTTTACATTTTAGCTGGCCTAAAAGGTTTCTAAATCTTAATGAGAAAATCAAATTCACAAAATTCAAGATTAGAAGACTCTGTATTTACCTTTGGGTGGGAAAGACCTACCCATTCAATACCAGAACAGAATGACCAAGACTGTGTGCACATGATGGAATGACAATTCTACTTTACTTAGCTCAGGTGGTATGTTGTAAGAATTTCCTGTAACTTATCAGCCAGGCCTCTTTCTCTGCATCCTTTAAAAATGCATCCACTTGTTTTGCCTAATCACTAACACACAATGTACTCAATATTCATCTTTACACAGAAGAGGCTACTCCATGCAGCTCAGATGTCTGCTAATACAATGAACAAGAGACCTATTGCATAACATGATGATAAACTTCAATGATGTTTAACTCCCATAGGGAGCTTTTGGACAATTTTTTAGTGGTCTACGGAATTCTTATTCTGAGATGCAGAAGGAAACAGCAACGACTGAATTTCCTTTGTAGCTTGACATTTTGAAATTACTGTGTCTCCTTTCTGCTTTAATGCAATTATCTTCATGAACATACCTTGCCAAAAATCTACTAGCCACTTCTTTAAGGTAAATTATATTGTATTCTGGGACTCAAATGATTCATTCTTATTTGAAACAGCTCTCTCTTAGACAATGAAGACAAATATGAATATATATGTATATGAACATGATTATATATAAAAGGTACATATATGTGTGGACATGTATGTTTATGTATGTGTATATACATACATATGAATCATTTATTATTGTTAAAATCTGTTAGTGCTATATTTGATATGCAAGTTAAACATTCTAAAGGGCAAATTCAAAACACCTAAAGGTTGCCTATTTCATCAGAGGTTACTGACCACACTTACCAGAGGGGGTAGATAATATTCTTCAGTATGAAGACTAGCAAACACCATTTTATTTATTTATTTTTATTTAAAAAATTTTTTAAGAGAGAGAGAGAGAGAGACAGTGTGTGAGTGGGGGAGGGCAGAGAGAGAGGGAGACTGAACTCCCTGAAGCAGGCTCCAGGCTCCATGCTGTCAGCACAGAGCCGACGCAGGGCTCGAACTCACCAACTGTGAGATCATGACCTGAGCTGAAGTCGGACACTTCACCCAGGCATCCCAACACACGCCATTTTTAAGTAGAAATAAGACTTGTCTATTTTGTGATTACATTTTATGTGTTTGATTAAAAAAAAATCTCACATCTGAAAGTTGCAGTTCCTTTTCATGTGCTGCAATTTACAATAAGTGGTGAACATTATAATCACTGAAGAGTAAGTGTGGATAATCAGCAGATACTTAAAAACAAATACATGATTTAGGCATTTTCTAGCTTGCCTGTAAATATGGTACACTGCATTAAATGAGAACATGCTTCTTAAGCCAACATAAAGACAGAATCCTCACCATACCTTCATAGGAGCCAGCTGGATGGGTGTGATGCAGGAAGGGTCTACCATGGGCTTCCGCCTGTTGGCCGTGTCTGCTAACAGGCTGTGCCACTGCTGCGGGAGGCCCGTGAATTTCTGTTCTTGCGGATCAAACCCAGTGTGAACCCTGTGTTCAAAGTTGGATGGACCAGATATTTCAATCTTTTTCTTTTTCTTTCCGAACATGATGCAAAGACCTGGGAAATGCAAACAGAAAAGAGATAATGTTTGTATCTCGCCAGCAGAAGATGATAGGAAAACTATCCATTCGCAGTTCTGCCTTTTCGATTATTCCTCTAGGTATCAGCAGCAAAAGATGAAAGTTGGATTTTCAGGGGGTGTAGATAAGATATTTCACTCATGATTTGTTTTCTCCTTGCACTTGCCATGTGGATATACAGTTCCCTGCCCAACTGATTTTGGATTTGGCCATGTGAACTGCCTTGATATGGACTGTGCAGCAGTCCGGTGTGGAGGCACTCTGAGTAGAAGAGTAGAAGGCACTCAGAATAGAAGGCACTCTGTGTTTCTACTTTCCTCCTTGTGCTTCTGGTGGGTGATACTCCCTCAGTCTGCATCCTGGAAGGAGAGATGCATGAAGCAGATCCAAATCCAACCTCCAGTCTGAAGCCGTGCCCAGCTGAGCCACAGGTGACTCATGAGTAAGAAATCAAGGCTTATAATTAAGCCACTAAAATTCTGAACTTGTTATGTGGTATTAGCAAAGCAGAAGTTGACTAGCATGCAGGGAGAAGCATCTCAAAATTTGGTGTGCACTTGAAATCTCAAACCTCTGTATGGACAAATATATGTTTATACATGAAAAATGAGGTTAGTAATCACATTCACCATATAAAATTATTATTAGGATTAAACTAGTAAACATTGGTAAAACACTCTGAAAAGTCCCTGGCACAAAGTAAGTGCTACAAATATAAATAGATCTCTGAACAAATAGAGAAGAAAGTTGACTGGCATTGCCTGCAGAGAAAGGAGCTGGGGAGACAAAGCAGGGAGAAAGACCCATTTTTTCACTGTATATTATGTTTAGAACTTCATAGCATGTATGTTGCCTATTTGAAACAATGTAGTTTACCTAATTAAAATATACCTTGTGGGGGCGCCTGGGTGGCTCAGTCGGTTAAGCGTCCGACTTCAGCTCAGGTCACGATCTCGCGGTCTGTGAGTTCGAGCCCCGCGTCGGGCTCTGTGCTGATGGCTCAGAGCCTGGGGCCTGCTTCCGATTCTGTGTCTCCCTCTCTCTCTGCCCCTCCCCTGTTCATGATCTGTCTCTCTCTGTCTCAAAAATAAATAAACGTTAAAAAAAAAAATTTAAAAAAAAATAAATAAAATAAAAAAATAAAATATACCTTGTGACCAGGATACCTCTAGAAAATATTTAAAATAGTCACTGTGTGCTTTATGGTACCGAAAACATGTCAGACAACCTGGGTTTGAATCCCAGGTAGGTTGCCTATTCACTATGATCGTGGGTAACTGCTTTTCCATCTCTCAGTTTATTGTGAATAGGACCATCATGATCATTTGGGGAACCCTGAAAAACACTGTTGCAGGCATTATAAATGATGATGGTTTGGCTTCAACGTTGCTTTGTTGGGAAACCTTCCCTCAGCCTTTAGGCTTGAATAGGTGAGTTATATATTCATATAGCTCCATGTACATATTCTTCCCAGCATTTACCCACTTGCTATCAATTAATTAGGTGTAATGGTGTGCCTAGTGTCTTTTTTTCCCTACCAGACATAGTAGGGAAATATCTGGTAATATCCACCAGAGAAGGGGTACTATTGGCTTGTTCACTACTGCATGCAGTACCTGCTCAAGAAATATCTGCTCACAGACTAAAATCATGAGCACAGTACATTTATTCAGTGAATGACACCTGGGGTAAGAGCACCAAAGGTGTTAACATCTTCCCTTGCTCTCCCCCTCCCCTTCCCTCGCCTTTACCTTCCATTAAAATGTGTTTCTTCTCTTAACCAGTTATTCCTGCTTGGGAAACAGGGTCTTCCTGGTGCCTTCACATTTTCCCAAGTTCCTATTCCATCCTCTACCCGGGTGTTGGGCCGCCATAACAAAATACCTGAGACTGGCTAGCTTAAACAACAGATGTTTATTCTTTACAGTTCTGGAGTCTGGAAGTCCAAGATCAAGGCTCTGGCAGATTCGGTGTCTAGTGAGAATGGACTTCCTGCATGGCTGTCTTTTTGCTGGAACCTCACATGTTGGTAGGGAAAAAGGAGCTCTCTCTGTCCTCTTCTAACAATGGCACTAATTCTCCATTCATGAGATTCCACCCTCATGAGCTAGTCCTCTCCCAAAGGCCCCACCACTTCCTAATGAGCTCACCTCGAGGGTTAGGAGTTCAACCTATGGGTTTTGGAGGGACACAATTAGACCACAGCACTGGATATGTATTCTCTTGACAGTGATCAGATTTTTCACAGCCTTAACTCCCTAGACTCTATCAAAACCCATTTTCCCATCCATCGTGGTTGTTACTTAAGACTAATTGGGGAAACTAATATAAAGGGATAAAGAAAAATCAATGAAAGATAATAAGGGCTGAAAACACCTTGATGTGTTGTTTCTTTTGGAGAGCATAGCACAACTTAAAAAATTCTTTAAGTACCTTACTAAAGTGGGTTAATAAATACAGGTCGGCTGACTTTAAACTTTTGAGAATACCCAAGCCAAAATGTAAAGAATTTAAGGAATCCAGTTGTGGTAGACCATTAGAGGAATGGCCCCTGATGTTTCATGCCTCCCAGTGTCCATGTCCTTATGTGGGTCTCTCCCACACTGACTCTGAGCCTGAATATGTAATTTGCTGTGGCCAATGGGACAACAGAAACCATGACACAAGCATGAAATGATCTTGGACACTGGGGTTTGCCTTCTTACTGCTCTTGGAACAAACAGCCAGCTTGAGAACAAGGCCAGGTCATCCTGCTGGAGGATGACAGATGGTGTGGTCCAGTCACCCATCAGTGCATCCAATAATCAGCTCTGGTAGCAAAGCCACATAACTGACCAGCAGCTATCCACTAAGTGAACCCAGTCAAAACCAGGAGAAGAATCATGCAGCTAAGCTAGACCCAAAGTGCTGACTTATAGAATCAAGACATAAATAAATGGCTGTTGCTTTAAGCCATTACATAGTGGAGTAAATTTTGGCACAGAAAATACCAATAGCAAAGACCTGCTTATCATCCCATACCTTGTATCTTCAGGTGCCCATCATTTTTCTCTTTCTACTTTAGCTGCTTCAAAGTCTCAAGTAATAACATCCAATGTGGTAACTGTGTTAGCTGTTATACAATTGCATTAACTCAGAGGAACCTTGATTATGATGTTACCATCTGGTTGGCTGAGGGCCTGGAATGTTTTCAGTGGCCAGGAAATTATGCCAAATATGTAAGTGGGTCTATACACTACCTCTCAGTATTATATCGTGAAAATAAAAATACATTTGAAAATATAATTTGGTCATGTGTTGGTGGAGTCCACTTGACATTTGAATAAACTTTATGACTATTTTTTTTAAAACAAGGTAGCAATTATCTTAGAAAAATCACTTAAGGAGAGTTATTTTGCATGAATTCATACATGAACTAGCACTGAAAATGCTAGGTCAAATATTTTTAGAATCAGAATAGAAATGTTTTACTATTCCCTTCCTATTTGTGAATGTCCCAGTGGTTGCCATGCCACTCATATGAAAATATAAAAAAGAAGATATCAATGAACTAATACTGTTCTTGTTCTAAAATAAGGCAGTTGTCCTGTGCTTGAATTAATTTACCTACACTGTATCCTGTGATACTACATAACTGTAATTTACATGGTTATACAGTTCTACACTTCTAGTAAGTTTGAGCTAAAGAGTTATAGAGGAAGAAACTAGACAGGAAAATTTAAAAGTTCTACATTTTCAAGCAATGTTTCCCTAAATGTAGAGACAGCATCACCATGAGGTACAGTGATATTTCATTAGCGATGGCCATTACTCTGGTAGCAATGAGGAAACTCACACTCAGGTGAAGTAGTCCTGATGCTTTTTACATCATGAAAGAGAGAGATACACGGTAGGGGGCCCTCCTAAAATCCATGATCTGCTTGGAACGGTTTCTTCTCTTGGATATGTCCATGATCTGTCTGTACCTGGCATAGTGCTCAAGGTTCACCTTGTCTATCTCACTTAGAACTCACAATAGCCCTATTTTGGTGGCAGGGGGTGATGGGGTGTTCCAAGACCACCCTCAGGTTTGATTGGCTAGGAGAACTCACAGAACTTAGCACATACTCACACTCCAGCTGTGATTTATTACAGTGAACATATGCAAAGCATCATCAGCAAAGGGAAAAAGACACATGGGCAAAGTCCGGAGGAAACCAGGCATAGGCTTCCTGGCATTCTCTCTCAGTGGACTCACATAGGACGCAATTAATTCCTCCAGTACTGAATGGTTTCAGTACGTGAAAAATGTTGTTGACCAGATAAGCTTGTGATACACTCAGTGCCTGAAGGTTTTATTCAGTATAGGTCACATAAGTACCCTTTGCTTGGCCCATGCCAAAATTTTAGAATCCAGAAGGAATTCAGGGGTTCAGCATAAACAATATTATTTGCATAAACAATTTAGGCACAGTGAATCATTCTTATCAGGGAAAGGTGGGACCCCTCCTAAAATCCAAGCTTCCATATGCAACCTTACAAATCAGCTTTTCTAAGATACGTGGTCTCACACATTAACTCTTCTCTGCACAGGAGGTGTTATTATCATATCTCTATGGAGGAAACAGAAGCTCAGAAGTCAGAAAATGGCAAGTCTGGAGAATCAGAACCTCAAAACACGTGCTTTGAATCACTAGAAAAGCAACACTGCCCTGCACTAGCTTTCTTTATCAGACATGTTCACCCCTGCGATTTTTAGGAAACTTGTTCCCCTAGAGAGATATGCATTAATGGGGAAGGTGGGCTCTAATAAGGTAACGGAGATTTTGGAGATTTTTGGGTTCTGCCATGTCTCTCCAGAAAGACCCTTTTTCTGACTGAGCTGAACTCTGTCACTGAGTAAGTAAGGTCAAAGGGCTGCTGGGAACCTGGACAACCCCTCAGGTAGAAAAAAGACCCCTGCTGTTCAGCATCTATGTGAATCAAG